CGCTCACGTGACCCGCTCCGGGAAGGCCTGCATCACATGAGAACAGGCAGCTCTTGGGGCGCATCTTCTGTTTTCGTTTGGACACTGCGCCCAAACACCTTCCAAACGGACGCTTCGTGAGGGGCCCAGTTCAGAACTCTGCCCGAATCGGCGCACCTGCAGTGTATTGCGCTTGAGACGAGCTCGGGCCGCGAACGGGAGCGGTGAGCCGCGGGACGGTCTTCTGCTTCCGCCGGCTTCCGCCCGCGGAGCCGCCGCCGCCCTGCCTCCGCAGCAGCCCTCCCGACGTGCCTTCCGCCCCGGGGGCGCGGCGCGCCGCAGGCGAGAGCCCCCTCCTCCTCCTCCTCCTCCCCCTCCTCCTCCTCCCCCTCCCCCTCCTCCCCCTCCTCCTCCTCCTCCTCCTCCTCCTCCTCCTCCTCCTCCTCCACCTTCCAGGCACGCCACGCTCCCGACCCCGAGCGTAACCCACAGAAGGCTGACCAGGGCAGCAGCACCGCCGTCTTGAGGCTCCCGTCAGGGTCTGGCCGCTGGAAGGAGGAGGCCTCGCCAACCCACCAGTGGCCGAAGCGAACTGCAAAATTGCAACAGAGAGCCAACAAAAAAAACAATCATCTGCCTCGAGCGATCCCCACCGAAACCTTGAGCCTCTGTCCTCCTCCTCCTGCCCCGTGCCTCCTTCCCCTCCTCCTTCCTTCCCCCCTCCCATCCTTAGACTGAGGGATGCAGGCGAGGAGGCCGCCCGCGGCAGGGCGGCAGCAGGGACTGCGGGATTCTCGGGACAACTGGGGGTCTGGCCTGGTTTTGGTGTGTTCTGTGATGTTATCTTGTGCTCTGGTTTGGTTTGTTCCGTGAGGTGATGTGGTTCTCTGTTATGTGACATTATGGTTTGGTTTGTTATGTGATGTTATGGTGTGCTCTGTTCTTTCATGCTATGCATTGTATTGTCACCTTTTGTCATAATATGTTATAGTATTTCGTGGTGTGGGTACGACGTTGTGCTGCTCTGTCATGATGTGATATGTAATGTTCTGCGACGTGTTGTCATGATATGTGTTGTAATGATACTGCCATCTAATGCTCCGTCGTGTTATGTCATGATTGCGTTTTGTTTTGTGACCTGTTATTGTGACATGTTGTGTTCTGTCGTGTTCGTCGCCATGCTCTGTTGTTATGTCATGATATGTTCTGAACGCTGCGCCATGGTATGATACTTCCCGTCAATGTGTGTTATGGTATGATCCGTTGTGTTATGTTATGGTGTGTTATGTCGCGTTATGTTATGGAATGTTCTGACGCCTGCGCGCGAAGAAATGCATTAGTTTCCCTTCCACGAGGGATGTTTATCGGAACGCGGTTGGCTGGCTGCATCAAGTCGAACTGCTGACCAAGAACGTTTTGCAAGTGGGGATCGCCAGCGACAGCAGCACCATCGCCAGCGCTGTGATGTTAGGGTGTGCTCTGTTCTGTCATGCTCTGTTCTGTTCTGTCGTGTTATGTCTACTATGTTGGTCTGGTATGGCGTGATATGCTCGGGTATGTTCTGTGATGTTATGTCATGATATGGTGTGTAGTGATGCTGGCATGTTGTGTTCCATCATGTTATGTCATGGTTGTATTATGCCCTGTTACATTCTACAGTGGCACGTTAAATTATGTCGTGCTCGCCGCTATGCCCTGTTGTCGTGTTATGATGTGTTCTGAACGCTGTGTCATGATATGATATGTCCCGTCAAGGTGCGTTATATTATGATCAGCTGTGTTATGTTAGTGTGTGTTCTGCAGCTTTCTGTTATGTAATGTTATGCCCTTTTGTGATGTTATATGCTGTTCTATGCTTTCATGATATTGCTATCTTATGTTATGTCATGTTATGTTGTGTACTGCTGTGCTGTTTCGTGCTTGTCGTGGACGCGAGGCGTGACTCCCAGGGACACTCGGGGACTCTCGGGGACACTCGGGGACTCTCGGGAAAACTTGGGGTCTGGCGGAACGGTATGCAGTCGTGTTTGTCGAGGGCGAGGGGGCCGGATTCCCAGGGACTCTCGGGAATGTTGGGGGACTCTCGGGACAACTTGGGGCCTGGCGGCCACGGTATGCAGGGTGGGGCTGGCCGGGGGGTCGGTTCTTGAAATCTAACAACCCCAACCTGTCGGGTGGGGAACATCCCTGGGATTTCCTGGGATTTCCTGGATCAGCTGGGCAAAACGACGCAAAGAGGTGCTCCACAGAGGGATGATTATACATTTTTGCGCCTTGCTTCGGAGGTTCGATATGCTCGCAAACTTCTGGGACAGCCAGCTGACACCTGGTCCCTCCACGAACACGTGGGTGAGGACTATGGCAGTGTCGTCCGCGAATGCTCGGACCAACGAAGCGGGTGGGGAACAGACATAACTTCCGGAGGCCCACGCGAGTCTCTTGACTCGGCGCTGGACCCCTCCTGGCGGCAGCTCTGGCGCCGCCCCCCACGCGCTCCGCGCGCCCAGGAGACGGGCCCGGCGCCGAGGCGAGGCACCCGCGCGGAGCTCCAGCAGCCTGCCCGCCACGTGCGGCTGCCTGCCGGGCTTCCGGCCTCGGACGCCGACCCCACGCGCCTGCACGGCTCCGGCACGCCCGTGGAGATCCGCATGCTCCGACCGGCCTCCGTCGCCTCCGCCCCCTCGGGCCCCCCCGCGCCGTCGTGCCTCTCAAGTCCGCTCCCGCGCGCCCCGCTGGCGGCTCCACCGCCGCCCGCTCGCGGGCGCCCGCGGGCCCAGAGGTGCGTCGCGCCGCGCTCTCTGTGACCCGAGGCCAGGGGGGAGCCTCCTCCTCCCCCTCCTCCTCCCCCTCCTCCTCCTCCTCCTCCTCCTCCTCCTCCTCCTCCTCTTCCTCCTCCTCCTCCTCCTCCTCCTCCTCACCCCTCCGCCCCCGGCCGTCTCTCCGTCCAGGATGTCCGCCGCGTCGAAGTAGACGTCCTTCTCGCCGTCCGCCCTCGAGATGAACCCGCTGGGGCGGGCCTGCCCCTCCTTCTTGGCGAGGAACTGGACGACTTTGCCTGCCCGCCCCTCTGCGCAAGCGCAACGAAGTGGCGACGAGTTGGCGGTGTCCAAGCATGCGTCAGATTGGCTCTGGGGTCTTCCTGGCCCCAGGGTGCCTTCCATCAGCCGCGCCTCGCCGAGAGAGCCCTAGAGGTGTCAGAAACGTCCCGAACGGCCGCCGGAAGCCCAGGGTACGACGCGAAAGCCAGCCTGGCAGCCTGCGCAAGGGGGTGCCAGGAGGAAGGGCCCTTCAAAAAAAGGCGGAGGGACTTCTTAGCAGTCTGAAGGCCACGAGGGCTTCTGGGAAGGCTTCTTGCAGTCGGGAACGTTTGCTCAGCATGTCGCCGCGGCGGCCCCGGCGACACGCTATGCCCTGCGAGCGGATAGCGCATCGCCCCGCTCCGCGGGGCGGGAGGCTCGGGAAAGCTCGGGGCACTGACGCCTCGGGACCGTGAAGCGGATGGCGTGTCGCACCGAGGCGCGATGGGTCAGAGCCGGCAGGCAACACGATAAGCAAAGGTTCCTCACCGCAGAACCCCCGCTGCCTCCTCAGAAGCCCCCCGCCTTCCCGGAGGCCCGCCCCCCCCTCGCGCCACCCCCTCGCGGTCTGGACTCCGAGGCGCGGTCCCGCGGATGCGCCGTCGCGCCGAAGCGCTCCGCCCGGGGGCACCCGCGACAAGCCTCCCCGTGCCCCGGGGGGTCGCGGCCAGGGCACCCAGACCGCAAGGCCGTGGATCTGGAAAGTGTGTCTGGTTCCCACCCCCTGGCGCCCGCGGGGCCGCGAGCCATCGCGAGCGGCCGCCCACACACGAGGGCGTCGCCCCTCCGTCTCCCCCTCCCGCTGCCGGGATGGACGGCACGGGGCGATGCCAGGAGGGGGTGAGCGAAACAGCAAGTGCAGCCACCTCTCCTGCGCCGCGGTGCCGCACAGCGCCGGCGGCGCCATGAGAGTGTCTGTTCACTTGCGGGGGTGATCCGGGTTATCCGGGGGGGGGGGCGCCAGCCGAGAACCTGACTGTTCGCGTTGGGCAAACCCATGTGCACGTCGTTCATTTCTTATCGTGCTCATTTCTAACTATGCTCGTTTCTAATCGTTCCTGGCCCCCTTGTAGCCAGGAAGAGGCCCAGGATAGAACAATTAGAAATGAAATGATCTTGGCCCCAGAAAAATCAAATAACCTTCGAAGAATTAGAAATGAACAATGTGTATGCCTTTGCGCACCACCAGCCAGCGCGCGCGCACGCGCGCGCAAGCCCATGCGCACGGACGCAGGCTTGTGCGCACCGCAAACACACCTGAGCACAGCTGGACTGCCACACGTGTGAGCAGAGCAGAACGAGGAAGCACACTTGAACGAAGCAAAAATCAGGAGCACCCACAGCAAGACTGTGTATCATCGCATTCTGAACGCAGCAGGACTGTGGATCACGCGCTAGCACGGCAAAACTACAAATCACACGTGAGCGCATGAAGATTACGAACCACGCGTGAACGCAGCAGGATTGTGAAGTCCACCTCGGCATCTACACCACGATGCCTGTGTATACAACGATGTCTGTGTACACCACAGCGCCTGTGCATACCAGCAGTGCTCATGTACACCACACCGTCCACCACGGGGCCTCTGCACACCACAATGCCTTGTACACCACAGTACCTGTCCACACAACAACGATTGTATACACCACAACACCTCGTACACCGCAGCTGCTGCTGCTGTTGCAGCAGCAGTGATAGTTGTGTGCACTACAGCACCTGTGCACATCAAAGTGCATTTGTACATTACAGCAGCAGTGTCTACACGGCTGCTGCTTCAGCATCCATTTAGTACCACAGCACCTGTACACCCCAGAGCCTGTGCACACCACAAAGCAGTGCACACCTCCAGAGTCCCGACGGGGCCAAAATCTGGAATAACGTGGAAGACCCGAACATATCGAATTTCATGTGTGATATGTTTGTGATTATTGATTTGTCTCGCCCAGGTACGGTCCCATATTTGGGGCCCTCAACGCTGGTGCCCACCGTAGCGACTGTGTCCACCACAATGATTGTGTACACCACAGCGCCTACGTATACCATAGGGTCTGCGTGCACCAACGCCTGTGTGCACCACAGCTGTCGTTGCAGCTGTAGCAGCAACTGTGTTCCACAGGGGGCAGGTCCCCTCGACCCTAACCACCACGTGGTCGCTCAAGTGGAGATCCCAGTTTTCTTTTGCAGCAGCGGCGTATGTATTTGCGCCCGAGAGGGCGGAACCCTCATGAACCTTGCCGTGTAATGTCGCCCGCGGACGAAGGACGGGAAATGGAACGTGGACCAGCTTGCCAAAGGCATTTGGCCAGGGAGCTCTCGGCCTGCTGCAGAATTTAATGAAAAGAAAAGCCTTCGCCGACCAAGGGCGAAGGCGAGGGTACAGGCCTCAAAGTACTACCACGTCGAGCACAGCTCAGCGTAGGAATCCAAAAAAGTCGTCGTCGTCGCCGTCGTCACAAGCCAGACCCAGACCAGAAGTTACAACGCCGTGCTTATGAACACCAGCATGCCTGTGCGAGGACCACGACGCCGTTGAACACTGCGCTCCCTGTGAGCTCCCGGCGCGCCCCGCCCCTTCGGACCCGCGAAACCGACAAGGTTAGGTGATCCTGCGGGGACGAGGGGGGGCAGTGGGCCCGACAACCCGGGTTATCACAAGACCCTGAAAGAAACATTATCGAGGAAAGCGCCCGACGGCTGAAAGCAGCTGCACGCAGCAATTTCGCCCACCCCCCCTTTCCCCATCCCCCCTTTCGTCCGCCAACCCTTTTGTCAGCCCGATCCGCCGCATTCCCCGCGTTCCATCAGCCCTATCCGTCCCTTTCGTCAGCCCGATCCACCACTTTTGTCAGCCCGCCCCGTTCGTCAGCCGATGCTCCCAATCCCCCCCTTCGTCAGCCCCATCCTCCGACGCATCCAGGTCACGCAGCCAGTGCGGTCATCTGTTGCGCTCTCGCGGCGCCCTAGTCCGAAAAACAAACTAAATAGCAAGCTAACTGACTAACGAAACACAACGTGTTGGCCGACCCGGCGAAGCCCGAAGCGTGGCCCTCTTCGCGCACGCTGCCGGTGTAGCTCCTTCACGCCCGACTACTCCACGTCCTCCCCACTTCCCCTGACCGCTCCTTGACTTGACAGCCCCTGTTCGAGCAACACGTCACATCCACCACTCTGTCTGCTCTGGGCACGCCCTGAAAGCAGGCACCGCTACGAAATCGAATGGCATCGCCGAGAAGTCGCGTAAACCCTTCACTAACTCGAACGGAACGCCTACTGCCTGCGGGGAGGGGCAGAAATCCAAGCCAAGTGTACGAATAGACCCCGCCCCCACGGCACACCCAGCAAAACCAGTCGAACCCGCTTGTCCAGAACGTGGACGGCTTGACCCCCTCCCCAAGTACTGTCCCACTGGCTTCAAAGAGGACGGAACTGGTAGAGCTCGTACCTGCCCACTCCTGCTCCTCCTCCTCCTCCTCCTCCTCCTCCTCCTCCTCCTCCTCCTCCTCCTCCTCCTCCTCCTCCTCCTCCTCCTCTTCCGCCTCCTCCTCCTCCTCCTGCTCCTGCTCCTTCTCCTCCTCCTCCTCCACCTCCTCCTCCAGTTCTTCCTCCTCATCCTCCTCTTCCTCCTCCTCTTCCTCCTCTTCCTTCTCCTCGTCATAACGATCGCAAGCGTCAACCTCATCATCATCATCATCATCATCATCATCATCATCATCATCATCATCATCAGCAGCAGCAGCAGCATCATCAGCATCATCATCATCATAATCATCATCATCATCATCATCATCAGCAGCACCATCATCATCATCATCATCATCATCATCATCATTATCATCATCATGATCATGATCATGATCATGATCATCAGCATCATCATCATCATCATCATCAGCATCATCATCATCGTCATCATAATCACCATCACCATCATCATCATCAACATCATCACCATCATCATCATCATCAGCAGCAGCATCAGCATTGTCCTCATCATCAGCATCATCACCATCATCATCACCACAATCGTCAGCATAATCATCATCATCATCATCAGTATCACCATCACCATCACCATCACCATCATCATCACCTTCATCATCATCATCAGCAGCAGCATCAGCAGCATCATTATCACCTTCATCGTCAGCAGCAGCATCAACAGCAGAAACAAAAAATGTCGTCGTCGTGATCGTCATGGTCACCGCGCCCGTCATCGCCATCGTCATAGTCTTGTAGTCGTCGTCATCATCACCACCATCATCAGCATCATCAGCATCGTCTTCATCATCGTCGTCGTCGGCATCGTCGTTGTCGTTGTCGTTGTCGTCATCATCATCGTCAGCAGCAGCATCAGCATCCTCATCATCTTCACCACCAGCAGCAGCAACAGCACCAGAAACCACAACAGCAGCATCATCATCAGCATCCTCAACAGCAGCAGCATCAGCCGCATCGTCGTCGACGTCGTCATGACTGTCATCGTCGCCGCCATCATCAACAGCAGCATCAGCATCAACAGAAACAACATCGTAACCATCGGCATCGTCGTCAGCATCAGCATCAATATCGCGATCAGCATCCTCATCATCATCCTCATAATCATCATCAGCAACGTCGTCGTCGACGTCATGCTCATCGTCGTCGGCATCGTCAACAGCAGCATCATCATCGACAGCAACAACAACGTCACCATCATCATCAGCAGCAGCATCGGCATCGTCATCAGCATCAGCATCAATATCAGCATCAACATCAGCATCAGCATCATCATCATCCCTGATCTTCATCATGATCCTCATCCTCATCCTCATCCTCATCATCATCATCATCATCATCATCATCATCATCATCATCATCAGCATCATCATCATCATCATCATCATCATCATCATCATCATCATCATCATCATCATCATCATCATCATCATCATCATCATCATCGTCACCATCATCATCATCAGCAGCAGCATCAGCAGCACAGTCGCCGACGTCGTCATACTCGTCGCCCTCTTCACGTCGTCATCATCACCACCACCACCACTTCCATCAGCAGCATCCCCACTCCTCCTCCTCCTCCTCCTCCTCCTGGCGGCCACCAAGCGTAGCGCGGAAGGACAGCACGTCGCCGATCGCTGGTCTCGGCTCCCCAGCCGTGGAGGAGGAGGGGAAGGAGGAGGAGAAGGAGGAGGAGGAGGAAGAAGAGGAGGAGGAGGGGAAGGAGGAGGAGGAAGAAGAAGAGGAGGAGGAGGAAGAGGAGGAGGAGGAGGAGGCCCCCCCGTTTGCTCCCTGCGGGGTGCGCCTCGCAGGCCCTTGGTGACCACCTTCTCCTCCTTCCCCTTCTTGCCCTTTCCTCTGCCTCGGCACGCCGCCGAGCGCCGAGCTCGGCCGCGGTCTGGCACGGAGGAGCTGGGTCCTGGAGGAGAGGGGCCCTGGGAACCCTGAGGGGCCCCAGGGACACAACTATAAAGGGACCCACATCCTGAGATTCCCCAATTTTTTCTGGGCTTACGTCTTCCCCCCAGTCTCCATGTTGTCCCATCTTGTCCTGAGATGCGACGATTCATGGTACCTGTGTGTCTCTCCCCTCCTGAAACTCTGCGGCCACACGCAAGAGGGACCGCAGGCAGGAGTGACCTCTGGGGCGCGGCTTGAGGTGGGCGCGGTGGGGGCCCGCCCCATGCGCGCAAGCCGCTGCTGTCGTATCGATTCCGGCCATCGGGGGACCTCGGTGCGCCCGCACCATAGGTCACTCGGCGAAAAGTCACTCTCACGCGTAACCAACTGCTCCGAATATGAATCCCCGGGGGATAAAAAAGTTCGGGGCCCAGGGGGAATAATAAACGATTTCCTGGAGATCTCAACATAATTATGAAGATGATGACGATTATGATGATGATGATGATGATGATGATGATGATGATGATGATGATGATGATGATGATGATGATGATGATGATGATGATGATGCTGATGCTGATGCTGATGCTGATGATGCTGATGCTGATGATGATGATGATGATGATGATGATGATGATGATGCTGATGATGATGGTGATAATGGTGATGATGAAAATAAAGATGATCCTGAAGAAATCCATTGGATTCCTGCGGAAGTCCATCAGGTTCCTTCGGAAATCCATCGGTTTTCTTAAAAACTCTATAGGAGGATGAGGATGAGGAGGAGGATGAGGAGGAGGATGAGGAGGAGGAGGAGGAGAAGGAACCCCCAGACCAGTTTTGGAAGAAAAAAAATCGATTCAGAACCTGAGGTTGATAATTTGCAAAACTCAATTATTGTTTAATCGTTTTCACTGGCGCATGTAGAGTAAGGAGTCCATGGCGGCTCGTTTACGGTGATATTTATATTAGATTGGATGAAAAAGGTTCGGGGCGGGAGGCGCAACGAGGAGGAGGAGGAGGAGGAGGAAGAGGACGCCTTAGGGAATCCATCAAATTCCTTCGGAAATCCTCATGAGTCTTCTGGCAATCCATAAGAATCCGTCGGGAATCCATCGGGTTCCTTCGATTCGCAACTCTCCCTCGCGATAATCAAGTTCGGCCTCGCCGCCCCTCCTCCCAGAACAAATCTGCATTGGCCGGGGAAAATAAAGCCTCGCGTGGGAAGAGGGGCGGGGGGGTCAGGATTCTCAGGGGGAGACGGCTAGCCGAGCTCCTCGCCACGTTCAAGAACCCCCGGGGCCCTCCACGGGCCCCTGGACCGTCCCGAGGGCCACGGGGCCCTCCACGACTCTGGAGGAGGAACCGGTCCTGCTGGAGCCGTCCCGAGGGAGCCAGGGCAGATGGCGTTAGGCCTACAGTCGAGGCGTTGACCTAAGGAACCCTAAATAAGGAACGAGGCTCCTATTTTCCATAAATTAAACTTCGATTTCGTATCGAAAACCTAAGGACAATCCAAGGCAAGCTGCGAAACAATTTAGGAACACGGAGCCCCTCCCCAACGAAAAGGGTTCCTTCTTCAGGGCCCCGACTGTACGCCCTTCGTTTTGTCCACTGCCCTGGGGTCCGGCAAGGGGGATGAAACGCAGAGGTTGGACCCCACCCGAGGCAGGCGATGTCCTGGTTTTGTTGACCACGGGGTCCCTGGAAGTCCCGACCCTTTCCCCAGGGCCAAATTTTCATCCCGACTCGTGTTTGGACAGTCTCGGGGCCGGGCGAGGACTTGGAGGCCGAAAACGGCCGAGAACCCCCCGTCGTGATTTTGTTCACGTCGCGAGCACGCCTGGGACCCCGCCTGCTCTAGCCACCTTTGGAGCCCTCGGGTCCTGCAAAAGCCCTGGGCCCCAGGAGCTGTTTTCGTGCGTTGACAGGACCGGGTTTAGTGGGACCTACTTTGGTGATGTGTGCTGGGGGACGCCCTCTCAGCCGAATTCCACTAACTGGAATTGCCGTCACGCCAAAAAGCACCAGCTACGGCAGACCTCGTTTAGCGATTCTGGCATCTGTGTTGAGATCGGGGCACTATCACAAACCGGCTCCCCTTATCCGGGGCCCTGGCTATACCCGGCATGTCCCTCAGCAGAGGAAAGAAAACGAGGACCATGACCAAGACTGAACGCGGAAACGTCGCGGTGTGGGACCTTGGTCATCGTCTATCTTGGTCATCGTCAATTCGTGAACCATCCTCGCGAATCGGCGACGGCCGGCATGGACCAAGACGAAGATCGACGTCGACATCTTGGCCGTGGTTCAGGAGATGGCGCACGCACTAAACGATCCATCGATCGAGGATCCATTGATCGAGGATGGAGGCTCGATCGAGGGTAGCGGATCCATCGATCCTATCCTCGAGGACCGAGAATCGACCGATCGGGCGAGCTCCGATCGATCGAGGTCGATCGATTCCGCGACATCTTGGTCATGGTCATCATGTTTCTTGCCTCGACCCAGGGGCCCCTCCCCTTCATGGCGCCCCGTGCCGCCGGGGGCCGCCCGCAGCCGCCGCCCAGAACAGCATCCGGCCACAGACGAGCTGCCACCACCAACAACGCAAGATGCACCAGCGTCGTGATGGCAAGGTGGAAGTTAGGCTAGGATTGGGAAGGGGGATTCGAAGAAGAAGAAGAAGAAGAAGAGAAGAGAAGAAGAAGAAGAAGAAGAAGAGAAGAAGAAGAAGAAGAATAGAAGAAGAAGAAGAAGAAGAGAAGAAACAGCATAAGCAGAGACTTTCGGAGCTCAGCGCGGAATCTTTGGATCGGCGCTGGGCCCCCCTGGCGGCGCCACCCCTGGCGCCGCCCCTGGCGCCGCCCCAGCTGGATCGATATGTGATGGCCCTGGGGCCCGAAACCTGGCGAAACAACCTGGTGCGAAAAAAACTACAACGCCCGGATCTCTGTGAGGCACACTGAGTGTTGCACCTTTGTCGTCCTTGTCCTTGCCGTCCTTGCCCTTGCCGTCCTTGCCCTTGTCGTCCTTGCCATCCTTCCCACCACGGCCCTTGCCGTCCTGGCTGAATCGCGCGGCGCTCGCAGCACAGAGGAAAACGTGCATCATCAATTCAGCACTGGAGGCGAGGCGGAGGAAGGGTGCAGGGGGGAGGCAGAGGAGGAGGAGGAGGAGGAGGAGGAGGACGAGGAGGACGAGGAGAAGGAGGAGGAGGAGGACGACATTCTGTTAGACAAACAACATTAGCTTGGACAGAGGCTTCCACTGATGTGCGCCGAGCAGCTATTCACCTGCGGGGGTGGCGGTTATTGCAAGGAGTCGTGTGCAATAGATTTGTGAAAACGGACTTAGGAACTGTGTCTGATTCAGCCCTGGAGGCGAGGAGGAGGAGGAGTGAGGAGGAGAAGGAGGAAGAGGAGGAGGAGGAGGAGACGGAGGAGGAGGGAAAAGGGGCGGAGGAGAAGGACAGTGTTATACTAGGCAAAGACGTCCATTGATGCGCGCCGAGCAGCTATTCACCTGCTGGGATTTGGGGGCAATTATACTGAGGACTCGATTGAACTATGATGGTGGAAACGGGTTTTCGAACTGTGCCCAATTCAGCCCTGGAGGCGAGGGGGAAGAGAGGGAGGCGGGGTCGACCCTCATGCGGCCAAAGGTCAAAGCAGACGGCGGGCGAGCCAGCCAAGGGCGGGAGAAGGGAGGAGGGAGGAGGAGGGAGGCGAGCGGAGGAGAGCGGAGGGAGAAGGGAGGGGAGGAGGAAGAGGAGGAGGGCAATATTTCAAGGCAGAGGCGTCCGCTGATGTGCGCCGAGCAACAAACATTCACCAGCTGGGGAAGGGCAAATCTAACACATTCCCGTGTGCAATGTATCGGTGGAAACGGGTTTGGGTACCGTGCCTGGTCCAGCCCTGGAGCGAGGAGAAGGAGGGGGGAAACGGAGGAGAAAGAGGAAGAGGAGAATCTGAGACTTTGCCACTGTCTCCATTGATGCACGCTGAGCAGCTATTCACCTGCTGGGTGGGGTGCACCAAATATACCAAGGATTCGTGTGCGGTACACTGGTGAACACGGTTGTGGAACTGCGCCCAATTCAACCCTGGAGGCGAGGAGGAGGAGGAGAAAAAGCGTGCGGAAGGAGGAGGAGGAGGAGACAGGAGGGGGAGGAAAAGGGCAAGACTATATGAGGCAAAGGTGTCCACTGATGTGCATCGAGCAACCATTCCCCTTCTGGAGGGGCGATTAAAGAAGGGTTCGCGTGCATTCTATAGGTGGAAACGGGTTTGGGGAATGTGTCTCACCAAGCCCTGGGAGGAGAGGGAGGCGGGGTCGGCCCTGCTGCGGCCAGAGGTTATGGCAGATTGCTGGCGAGCCAGCCAGGATGGGAGGAGGGAGGAGGGAGGAGGAGAAGGTGGGCGGAGGGAGGAGGGAGGAGGAAGGAGGAGGGAGGAAGGAGGAGGAAGGAGGAGAAGGTGGGAGGAGGGAGGAGGGATGAAGGAGTGGGGGAGGAAGAAGATGAGGAGGAGGAGGAGGATATTCAAAACTAAATGTAGGCACGTGCACCCAAATAACATTCATGGCTTGGGGCAGCAGGCATCAACATGCTGGATGTCACACAGTCTAAGAAGGGCCGCATGTTGAAACGTCTGGGAAATTAGATGTGCAGCCGAACGACAAAGCGACTTCGCAGAAGATCCCCCTCCAACCCATCTCCGAACCACCCTGAGGGCGTGCACAGAGGCTGGCCTGTTGCAGGAATCATGCGACAAATCACGCGGTAGCACACACAGCCACACACACACACACACACACACGACTTCAAGGGCAGCCCAGCAGGCCACACTGGAAAGACTGTCGCACTATGGCTTGTTGAAAACAGCCAAAGCCCAGGCTGCACAGGTAGATTTTCACGGCTATGGCGTTGAACACCACAGCATGGCACCAGCTGATCGGTCAACCAAGACATTCTGGTTAAGGCTGCCGTTTAGCGAGGTCCTGTTTAGCAGCTTGTTGGGCCGTCGTCTCAAAGACATGTTGGATGAGTAGATCCCTACAGTGACTAGCTGTGGGGACACCAGTATGCATTCGCATTGCTTGGCGCGCAAGCGGTCCCAATCTGCACGCTTTGATTTTAATGGTTGGCATCTGGTGCGGTAGGTGGGTCAAGCAGTTGTAGCAGTCCGCTGCCTCGAGGGCTTGGCAGGCACCGCGCTCACAGGCTCCAGTGCTCCTCTTCTGGCTACACGAGGAGGCGCGTCAGTAGTTCTGGCGCGGCGCTTCAAACCATACCGCCGGCCGAAGCTAACGCTTTCACAGTGCAGCGAACGCGATGAGGACGAGGAGGAGGAGGAGGAGGAGGAGGAGGAGGAGGAGGAGGAGGAGGAGGAGAGGGAGGAGGAGGAGGAGGAGGAGGAGGAGGAGGAAGAGGAGGACGACAACGACGAAAAGAAAGAGGAGAAGGAGGAGGAGGAGGAGACATCACGGGCGGCGTCCTTTCCGCCTTTGCCGTCCCTGTCCTCGTCGCGGCGGTCCCGGCCGCCAGACTTGCCGCCCTGCGGCCGCCGCGGGCGAGCGGAGGGGCCTGGAGTTGGCGGCCTTCGCCCGCCCCTGGGGGAGGAGGGGGAGGAAGAGGAGGAGGAGGAGGAGGAGGAGGAGGACGAGGAGGAGGAGGAGGAGGTGCAGAAGGGGGGGAAGGAGGAGGAGGAGAAGGAGGAGGAGGAGGAGGAGGAAGAGGCACGGCGTCTGGCGCAAAAAACCTGCGTCTTGTGACACAGCGAGTCCGCCACCCGCTCAGCGGGCAATGAAAGAGGCGAAACACTATGGATACAGGGAGGTCGTACACGCAGGCGTCGTCACAGCCAACCTGGCTCTCTGAGCGGGCGACGGAGGACAAGAATCCGAAGACACATGAATCGGCCCACTGCTTGAGCACCCATGTGGTCCAGTCGTGGCGGGCGCTCGGGAAGGCCTGCGCGAAATCGAAGCTGAGCAAAAACGGCGAGCACCATCCCGAATGACTGGCATGGAAAGGGCCGGCCTTGTGCTCAGAATGTTCCGGCGGGCCTGCCCAGGAACGCTTTGGGAGCATACTCTTCGCCAGTCGAGCACAGTCACAGCGTCCACTCCGCCGTGTGGCCACATACGCATGTCCAGCGCTCGCAGACGCAGCTGGGGACCCCCGCATTGCTCGCAGCGCCGGTCCTCAGATCCTCCCCGCTGCTTTACGTCGGGCTCCGAAACGACAAGGGGGCAACAACGCGCGACGCCGCGCGCGCACCAGCAGAGCCCGCCGACTTGCTGGTCGGGGCCCGTGACGGGGCAGCGACCGCCACCTGTGCAGCCACGGACCCAGCGAACTCCCGGAGCTGCTCCTCAAACGCAGCAGCGAAGTCCGCCAGATGGGTCGTCATCAAGAGGAGGAGTAGGAGGAGGAGGAGGAGGAGGAGGAGGAGGAGGAGGAGGAGGAGTAGGAGGAGGAGGAGGAGAAGGCGGAGGAGGAGGAAAGGGAGGAGGAGGAGGGGAAGGAGGACGAGGAGGAAGAGGAGGAGGGAGAGGGGGACGAGGAGGTGGAGGAAGAGGAGGCTGAGGGTTTTTGTTTCACATCAGCGCACCTGCAATGATGTACAACAGGGATGACGGCGCCTCCTCCCTGAGGGGTCAGCGGGGGGCCTGGGTCCATTCCACCGCAGCGCAGGAGGCTCACAAACCCGGGACCCCCCGACCACGGGGGGCCAGGACTGGACCTGACCAGACCCGGACCCCCCGACCGCGTGGAGGAACACGTGGAGCGCGGCCCACACCACGTATTCCCCCATGACGTGGATCACGAGGGGGAGGAGACCCCACGGCAAGGCAGGTGCGCGAGCGACTGCTGCGCGCGCTCCCGCACGTCCTGCTCCATCGTAGGCACCGTGCCCGCAGCGCCAGGCCGACCTCCAGGAGGACGACCACCATGCGCCTGGCGCGCCAGCTGGCCCTGCAGCACCGAAAGGTCGCCCACGTCGAGGACGTCGACACCCTCCGAACCGCCGCTGGCCGTCGCGACCACCGCCTCCGCATCCACATCCTTCCGCATCGCGGGCTCCTTGCCAGCTCCGAGAGCAGGCCCTCCGTCGCGAGGAGGCGCACCAGGAGGCATTCCAGCAGTAGCAGCAGCAGCAGCAGCAGCAGCAGCAGCAGCAGCAGCAGCAGCAGCAGCAGCAGCAGCAACAGCAACAGCAGCAGCGCCACCGCCAGGGCCCGCAGCAGCGGGCTTCGCCAGCCCGTCCGCCCACTCGTCGTCGATGTCGAGCACGCCATGCTCCCCGACAGCTCGGCGCCGCCGAGCCCGACGCCGCCTCCGCCTCGGCTGCAAGCCAGGCGTCGCCGACGACGCGGGGGCAGCAGGCCACTGGACTCGCCCGCGCAGGTAGCACAGGTGCTTGACGGGGTCTGCGGTATCGCCGAGCTCAGGAATATCACCTCGGCGACTGAGCAGCTCCGGAAGCGGGCCAGCTTTGCCTCCTCGAGCTGCGCCAGGGTCGTCGTCGACGCCGCAGCGGCCCGCGCCCCTGCCCGCCGCGCAGGCCACGTCGCCTCGGCGGGCGGCGGGGGGACCTCCGCGCGGCGGATCTCCTTCTCCTGCTCGCACTCTTGTCGGCGTGCAGAAGGGGGCAGGGGGAAGGGGGAAGAATCTTAGAAGGAGGCTGCCACTTAGAAGGCGCCAGCCCTACATCGATAGATCAGGCCCGCGCCTTCTAAGAAGCAGGGGTGTGTTTAAGAAGCCTTCCCTCCTCCCCCATACCCCCCTCTACGCGTGGCTGACACCCACGCCGCTGCCGTGGCCTCCTGGCCCGCTCGGCCTTCCTCATCTCCACCGGGAGCAGCGCCAGTTTCCGACGGCGGCACGCCGCCGCAGGCCGCCCAGGGGGGGGCCAAGTCGCAGTTGCAGACCTCCGTTGATCACCCGCCTGGTCCTCCAGGCGGGCCCCCCCTCGACTGCCACGCCGAGGGCGGACGCGAGCGCGGCTGGCGACCGCCAAGCCCTCGCGCTCCAGCAGCTCTTGGGCGGGCTCAGAGGCCGAGCTGAGCGCCGCCGCACAGACCCGCTCAGCGCGGCCTCGGCCATCAGGGCGCACGGCTTGCACCCTCGCACTGTGGTCCCCCCCTCGCGAGGGACACAGCCCCCACCCCCCAAGAGGGGAGGGGCTTCGAGTCGACAGGGGGGAACGGAAAATGAAGTCCCCCGCCCGTAAACACAAGGGCTTGGGAGGAGGAGGAGAAGGAGGAGGAGGAGGAGGAGAAGAAGGAGGAGGAGAAAGACGAGGAGGAGGAGGAAAATTGTTTTTTAACATGACCATGATTGCCACGACGGGGGGTCAGCGGGGGCCAGGCCTGGACCTGACCAGGCCTGGGCCCCCCGACCGGCGCTGCGGAAGCACTGAAAGTCGGCACCCAGGAGGGCGTATACCGACGGGGCGGCGAGGATAAGCTCAACGACCATCGGAAAGATGAGCAGCACCAGCAACTCCTCGAAGATCACGATGGGCGGTGTATAGCCCGCGAGCGCCAGCCTCGCGCGTTCCCGCGCGTCCATCTCCACCCATCGGAGCGCCCTCGGGGGGCCCGCGCCAGCCGCCACCGCAGCGCCAGCTCACGCATCCGCCAGGGCGTCGGGCGAACGTCGGCGCCGACCGCGGCGCGCAACGTCTGCCCAGCTGGTTCAGGTTCAGGTCCGACAGCTCCACGCCCGCGGCGGCCCCCACAGGCTCGGGCCGACGCACCAGCGCCACCACCAGCGCCGCGCGTTCCGAGGCGTCCGGGGTCGCCCGCCAAGGGCGCCGCTCCAGCAGCAGCCAGAGCGGCAGGTGCCTCCGCGGCGGGCTGGCGTCTCCGCGGTCGCCGCGGGCGAGGCGCCTCCATCGGCTCGTCGGCCCGCTCGCCGCCGATGTCCGCGGCGGCCACGGCGTCGACCGCGACCAGCGCGAGGCCAGGCCCCGGGGCCCGCAGCAGCCGCCGCCCGCAGCACCGCGGCCCCCTCGCGTCACGCTCCTCCGCACGCCTCGCCGCGCGGCACTGGCGGCGAAGGCGGCGGCACGCCGCCTTGGCACCCGAGGCCGCCCGTGGAGGAGGAGAACCGCGCGCCTCCGCAGCGCCGCCGCCAACCACCGCGGCCGCGGGGGGCCCGTGGATCGCCCCCGCAGGGCGAGGCCGCCAGCGCTGCGCGGGCCACGGCCGCCACTGTGCGCCGCGGGGCGCTCGCAGCGACGGCCCCGCGCGCCGCCGCCTCTACGAAGGAGGCGACATCGCTGGCCGCCCAAGCCCCTCTAGGCACCGTCATGCCGCCGCGAGGACAGCAGGGGCGCCGTGCGACCGCCTGAGGGAGGAGGAGGAGGAAGGAGGAGGAGGTGTAAACCCCAGACTCATCAACGATGCTGCAAGTACCCCCCACATCCAAGCTCGATCTAGATGGCCCCTACACGTAATCATTCTCACTGAAAGGAAATGCCCCGTTGGAAAACAACCGTTTCCGGTTGAAAATCCGGAAGTGTGCCAGAACACCATTCCTGGGACTTCAACGCCACGAATCACCGCTACTGCTCCGTCTTGGCGGCCACGAATCGTGCCACAAAAAAAACTTTCTGGTACTTCAGCACCACGAGTCAAAGTAATTGTTGCGCTCTGACAATCCGACGTCGTGCCAAAACACCATTTCTGGGACGTTCGCCATGAGAATCATTGAAACCGCTGTGAAATATTAAAACGATTGTGCGCGGCGCTGAAGCGAGAGCCACGTTTTGAAAAGGAACCGCCCTCCAGCTCTGCAGCCTCATTATGTTCTATGACGAATGTGCGCGGTGCCAAGGCGAAGGCCACATTTTGAAAACGGCCCACCCTCCATCCGTGAAGCTCCCACGACATGCTGAAACGAATGTGCACGGCGCCACGGCGGGAGCCACAGTTTGAAAACGACCTGTCCTCAATCCGTGAAGCGATTGCGTCTCTTAAAAGAAGATGTGCGCGACACTAAGGCGAGAATCACATGTTGAGAAGGACCCGACCTCCATCCGTGCAGTTTTGATCATGTTTCCATGACGAATTTTCGCGGCGCCAAAGCGAGAGCCACGTTTTGAAAACGGTTCGCCCTCCATCCAAGAAACTCCTGCAACATGTTAAAGCGAATGTGCGCGGCGCCACGGCGGGAGCCACATTTTGAAGACCACCGGCCCTCAACCCGTGCATTTCTTATAGCGCGGCGCCAAGGCGAGGGCCACATTTTGAAAGCGACCCGCCCTCCATCCCTGAAGCTCCTGCAACATGTGAAACCGAATGTGCGCGGCGCCACGGCAGGAACCACAGTTTGAAAACGGCCTGTCCTCAATCCGTGAAGCTCTTGCTATTTTGAAGAGGATGTGCGCGGCGCCAAGGCGAGACCCACATTTGGAAATCGACCTGTCATCAACCCGCTGAACTCTTGCAAACTCGTAAGACGGATGTTCACGTCGCTAAGGTGAGAGCCACATTTTGAAAGCGACCCGCCCTCCATCCGAGAAACTGTTAAGGAAGTCTTAGGCGAAATGCCCGGCCCGCACTTCCGACTGGCCTCGGGGTGGGACGGGGAGGAATTATCAGCAGAGGCGCCAGTGCATCGAGGAATGCGGCCAGCGGCGGTGCCAAAACCAGCTGCACGCAGCAGATTTCGGAAACCCCACATTTCCCAATCCCCCCCTCGCGTCCGACCCGAGAGGGGAAGGGGAGGGTGTGGGTGAGGTGAAAAGCAAGCGCAAGCGCGCGCGTCCCCAGGGAGGCCCTGCAGGGGGGAAGGAGGGGCGATGCGCAGTTGGGAGCTGAGGCGATCTCGCTCGGGCAAAGAAGGGGAGGGGGAAATTGCACTGGCAGGGGCAGTTACGACAACGCCACGGGGAGCGCCAGTCTCTCTTTCCGTGGCGTGGGAGATGTCCGCCTCCAGAGACCCTCCATCCCAAGTGTCGGGGATATCACTTCTACTTCCGCCGATTTCCGCCGGCCTTCCGCCGGCCGAGCTGCCTCTGCTTTACTCCATCCCACCGCTCGCCGACCGTGAGGAAGCTTTCACCCAAGGCGAAAGTGCGCCCAGGGCGAGGACTCCCCGGATGCAGAAAACGAGAGCGAGCAAGCGAACAACATTGCCGAGCGAATGGCGACCCTGATGCCCACCCAAATCCTCACCGAGCGCACGAAAACCTCGCAACATGAAGGTCGAAAACCAACTCCAAGAACCTATCACACAATGAATATCGTCAATAGTGTCGGCAACCGTAACATCAAGAGTCAGCGACTACGTGCACACTGCCCATCGTCGTCCAGGCTTCACAGAAGGCTTGACGAGTACATCACCCGAGGACGGGCTTACACTGAAAAGCACGACTGCAAAGGTGGGCCCACCTCAACCCTGGGTCAGCAGGAATCGCCAAGTCGGGACACCATGTTCTCAACTCTTATGTTGCATTTTCGGGGGCCCTTGTCTGTCCCGTCGCGGCCCTATCCGCGTCGAGTCCGTGTCGAATCCGTGTCGGCCTTGTCGGATCCGTGTCGAATCCGCGTCGAATCCACGCCAAATCCGCGTCGAGTCCGCATCGAGCCTGCATCGGACACAATAGCAGACACCAGCTTGGGGGAGAAGCGAGACCCCCCGAAGACGCAACGCAACAACCGCCGAAGCAAGGTGCCGCGGAAGTCGTTGGGCAAAGCCGACGCGTCGGCTCCACAGCCACTGCACGCTGCACCCTCGTCTCACCACCCCCTCGAGCGGCCTCGACACCTCCTCCTCCTCCTCCACCTCCTCCTCCTCCTCTTCCTCCTCCTCTCTCCTCCTCCTCCTCCCTCCTCCTCGTCCTCCTCCCTCCTCCTCCTCCTCCTCCTCCTCCTCCCCCTCCTCCTCCTCCTCCTCCTCCTCTCCTCCTCCTCCTCCTCCTCCTCCTCCCCTCCTCCTCCTCCTCCTTCTCCTCCTCCTCCTCCTCCTTTCGTTTTTTTGCCTCTGGGCGGCCGCCTGCAGCGCGCAGGCGGACGCCGCTACCGCGCCGCCAGGGGGCGGCCTCAGAACAGGAGCTCGCAGACCACGAACTCGGCGCCCTGCAACTCATCAGGGCACACCAGGCCCGAGAACAACCAGCCCAAAGCTAGGTGCCTCCAGAACTGGTTAAAAAAAGGAACCAGCACAATACCAGCGCACGAAAAGTAGCCGACACCGGTGCCAGCACCGAATGCTCACAGTTGGTCAAAACCCAAGCTGCAGAGCCTGAAGCTGTGGCGCAGCAAGGACCCATGCCAGCCGCCACATAAACAATAATGAAATTGACCAGCACGGCATACGCGCCATCCACATAAAAACGATAGGTGCGCACCATGACGATAGAGAAGTGACCATTCACGCACCAAGGGTAGGTACAGAGAGCCCGTCGCCAAAAGCCAAGCAGCACAACAGCGACGCAGCACTCCACGTAGTAGATAATGCGATTCGCCCACGACTTTGCGCACGGAGAGCAAGTCGTAGAGACGCGTATGGAACTCCATCGACTGTGTCTTGGCGAACCGCAGCACACTCTTGATCTGGTTGCAGCGAGTCCCACGGTCGCGAGCAGCTCCAGGACATGGCCCCCGCAACTTTAAGACATTACGGGTGACGTCACCAGGGGTCCGTGCACACTAAGTACAGACCACCGCCAGCCCACACCACTGCGTACTTGAGCAGGCCGAAAGATTTTCCTCTTGAGGTCCAGATGACAAATGCGAAATGTCGTTGGTTTTAGCGGATGCGGACGCAGCGATCATATCGCGCTCGCGTCGAGGTGGGGTGCGGCATATGTTATGGGAGGCTGCGGGAATTGGCCAAGCCCGCTGTGGCGCTCGAGCACCCACATGTTATGGAGGCTGCGGGAGTTGGCCAGGGCAGCTGTGGCGCTCGAGCAACGACATGTTATGGGAGGGGTTTGGAGAGGTGGCCAGGCCCGCGGTGGCGCTCGAGCTCCCGACTTGGGCACCGCGGTCGTTTTCCCTCCTCCTCACTCCTCCCTCATCCGCCTCTTCCGGACTTTTCGTTTGCCCTCCTCCTCTTTCTCGCCTCTCCTCTTCTTCCTCGTCGTCCTTCCTCCCTCGTCTTCCTCTTCGCCCGCCCCTAGTTTGTGCTTCCCTACCTGTCCCCGTGTGTTGTGTCTCTCGGTAGGGAAACCCCTCCCCCGTAGAATCATAGCTTGGGCTGCAGGTCTAAGGCTCCGTGGATCCATTTCCCCTTGGGTCTCTTAGTATTAGTTATGAGTATACATGTGCTCCAGGAAAAGACTTGGACCACGCCAAAAAAAAGATCCAGAACACACGCAGATTGGATCCACATGACTCTAACACACACACACACACACACACACACACACACACACACACACACACACACACACACACACACACACACACACACACACACACACACACACACGTAATTGGATCCAAATGGATCCATGCGTCCCCATGCAAGAGGAAAAACTTTCGGCCTGGAAATATGGCCCAGCTCGGCAAAGTAGTCATTCGCGCAGAGCGTGGCCTTCCCCGATTCGCCCACGGCCCGATGCATAATCTGCCCAACCTGACCGAGCACCTCGTCAGCGAGATTGAGAGCGACCTCCACTGCCTCCTCACCCTTAAGCCTATACGTCGAGCCCTTGGCCGTGCCGAAGACCACGTCGACCTGTAGCGCTTGGAGCGCAGTCGGATTGCATGCCTTGCACGGGCCCCACGTCAGGTTGTTGAAATGCGCGTTGGTGCGAGCCCGCAACCCACATCCACGACATGTCCATTCACTGTACACATCAGACCACAACACGCAATTGCGAACGAACTGCAACCGAGGCTTCGGCTCTACACGCCGAAGCCGTGGAACATAATCTCCCCACACCTTGAGCTGAAACAACCGCCTCAACGTAGAAGGCAAGAACCGAGCACGCAATTTGGCCCGAGCGAAAAAAAAACACCTTGCTAAAGTCGGATGTAGCCGCCGGCGTAGCTGATACTCCGAGCCCCTGCTTTGGCGAA